ATTACAGAGAAGGAGAATGGTGACGATCATTTTAGAACTGCAGATGAGACATGGAGGGTCTGAATAGGGAGAAAAGGAAAGAAAGAAGCAAGCTGCAAAGACGTCAACAGGTTGGACAGCACACTCTAGCTGGGTCATTGGACTGGAAGAAGCAAAAGATAGATTCTTCTTTTTAATAGTTAAGCTTTGGATTTGGATAATTAAATGAATGCTAGGGGGAAATGGACTTAATTTTAAAAATTGGACACAATCAATTTGATGTGCCGGAATAAACAGATGGGCAACTGGAAATATTAGTCTGGATCTCAGGAAAGACATCTGGGCTTCAGAAACAAATGTGAGAAAATAGCAGTTAAGATGGAATGGTATGAATAGGGGGGAGGGGGAAAATAAATCCTAGCATGAGAGAAGAGATGTCAGGATAGAACGTTAAGATAAAAAAGTCACAGAGACGGCTGTAGCTTCTTAGAAAGAGATGCCCAGAAAGCAATCAAAGTACAACCAAATGATAATATAACTGAAATCAGAGGAGAAGGGAATTTTAGGGGAGAAAATGAGAGTGGTAAACATGGCCAAATATAGAAGGCCTCTGTACTATCCCATGCCCTCAAATACAAGAGAACATATAAGCATACCACCTACTACTTTTGGTAATAGGTCACTGTAGCCCACAATGGGAAAAGTGGCCAGCTGGGAAGGAGGGCAAGCAATACAGTGTATAAACTACACTGATCTGTGGGACAAATACTTCTTAAGAAGATGTCGATAAAGAAAGGAAGAGTGAGTAGCACAGAGTACCTAACACACAGGTATATCTTAGAGGTTGTTCTCTATGACTTCATTGAGAGACCTGGTTCAACCACATGCCAGCTGTGTGATGATCATTCTGGATAGTCATAACAGATATTGAGTTTCCTGGGCTACAAAAGAGGAGTAATAACCTGTGGCAGAGTAAAACATGACAATTAAATGAAAGAATACATGTAAAGCTAATAGGACCTATTTTGGTACATGGTAAGCATTAACAAGAGTAAATGAGAATTATTTCTATATAAATGGTGAGGAGAGAGTGAACCAACAAAATAGAAATTGAAGAAAGAGATATTAGCAGTTCCTACAGGAACCAAGGATGACAAAGCTTCATCTCACATATTCTGGAAGAGATGATTCCTTGGGCAAAGACATCCTGTTTGGAAAGGTGGAGAGTTGGTGAAAGAAAGGAATGCCACCCACAGAGATGGACCAACACAGTCACTGCAGCAGCGGGCTCAAGTGTGTCAGAGATGCCAAAGACGGCATTGAAAGTCAGGATTCAGATTTGCTGTTCATAGCATCTCAATGAGTCGTTGAGTTGACTGCATGTAACATCACTACTACCAAGACCAGAAAGGCATGCCTATCAAGGCCATGCAGAGGATTAGGCCTGTACAAGAGGAGGGATGCTTCACCTGAAGGTCTTTAGATGTGGAGGAGGACGAAATTTTAAAGGCGACTTTCCAAAGGAAAGTGATAATCTGAGCATCTTCAGCAGCAAAGTGCCTGTGAATGCTAATAAGCCCCCACAGGGTATTGCTTACACCCCGCTGACTCTGCACTCTTTCTGTAGTTACATGGTATATAGCACAGCTTGGATTTTCTAGATTGGAGTCAGCCCCAGTGAGTCATAACAGTTACGCACTGATTGATACATAGCTCATTTGCACAAACAACTTGAGCTGAATTCTCCAGCATTCAAGCCTCAGGAATTCTACTACTCAAATACTTGTAGAGAATTTAGGACCATAGAAGTGAAATAAACCTCTTCCTGATCTCAGAAGATCTCTCAGAGAAGCTTTCTTATAAAGGGAAGTAGCCTCACTCACAGTGCCAACGTGCATCAGAAAACTAGTTGTTGGTGTCCTATTATTCCATTAGTTATAAGGAATTGTGCTGCCAATGTTGTTATTGTTGTTGATTGCGACTGAGTCAAACATGACTTACAACGACCCTATGAACAAAAGGCCTGATGCCTTTCTATAACTATAGACATTTATCAAAGTTCATAGTTTCCAGAGGCATGTTGTTTAGGAAGTGGATGCCACTGATGCTTCCAACTAGGTATTGGTAAAATGAGATGGACTGGCATGGGGCATTTTGAATCAGACAATCATATGATCTCCTATGCTGGAAATAAAAAAGTGAGGAAAAACAGAGTTGCTTTCATAGTTAAATAGTCATTTCTAGATCCATCTTGAAATACAATGTTGTGAGTGACAGGATAATATCCATATACATACAAGGAAGTCCAGAAAATACCACTATCATTCAAATATATGCACCAACAACTACAGGCAAAGAGGAGGAAATAGATTTCTACCAACTTTTGCAGATACTCAGAAATCAATCGAACATGCAATCAAAATACATTAATAATGGGTGAGGGAGCTCTGGTTGCCTAGTGGTAAGAAGCTGGGCTGCAATCCCGAAGATATATGGTTTGAAACCACCACATGCTTCACTAGAGAAGGGGGCCAATCCCCTCCTGTGCCAATTGGATCTGATTTGACAACACACACACCCCACACAATGGGTGACTGGAAACACGGAAGAATTAGTTTCAGAAAACACGGACTTGGTGACAGAAAGAGGCTGGAAAATGCAAATCCACCGGGTGCTCTGTGGGAGAAAGATGAGCAATCTCCTCTCATACAAATTGTTGTCTCTGAAAACCCTCCAGAAAGTCACGATGGGTCAGTTTGGACTCAACAGTAAATCACAATAACACACACCCAAAGGGAGCTCTGATGGTCTTAGGGAGCTCTAGTGAACTAGTCTATTTTTGATGGCCTAGTAGCAAGACACTGCGCTGCAATCCCAAAAGCAGGCAGTTCAAATGCACCAGCTGCTCCGTGGGAGAAGGCTGGACAATTTCTTCATGTGTGGTTAACTGCCTCTGAAAACCTGCCACAGGGTCAACTAGGGTTTTTTTTCTGACTCAATAGTACACAAAACAACAACAAGAAGTAAGGAGCTGGATTGGCAAACCAAAGCAGAAAGATGGTACTCTCCTCCTGAGCTATCTATAATCTTGGAAAACCTGCTGTAGCGTGATCTATGAGTTAGTTCTGACTTCCCAGTACATAACAACAACAACAATCTGCACCTAAGTCAAGACCCTTTCCTACATACTATAAAAGCAACTGATATATTGAATAATAATTTCAAGCCAAGGCTACGTTTTTATTACTGAGTAAACTTTACTGTGCAAATCTGATTATTGTTATGTGCCATCAGGTTGCTTGCGACTAATAGCGACCCTATGTACAAGAGCCCTAAATGCTGTTCTATCCGGTGCCAACCTCACCATCTCAAACACACTCATTCCCACCACTCCATTCACAGAATCGATTCATCTCATTGAGGGTCTTCCTCTCCTGCGCCATCCCTCCACTCTCCTGAACATGATGTCCCTCTCCAAAGGCCAGTCCCTCCTTGCTATTTCTTTTATATGAAAACTGTGTATAATATTACTGCCAAATTACTTTAGCTTTTGTAATGAAGACATTGTTGTTACTGAGTATCATCAAATTGGAATCAGGCCATAGTGACAGACACCACACACACACCCGCCGCAGTGGGTTTTTAGAGGCTGAAAATTGCATGGGAGGAGAATTTTCCTTTCTCCCATGGAGAAGCTGACAGATTTGAACCACGTATGGACAAACTGACAAAAACAACTGGAAAAATTAGGTGTAACCTTTAGGGGGCAGTGAGTTTATGTTTTTGGAGAAGGAACAACTCAGAAAAGGAATGTGAGAATGGTTGTACAACTCAAACAATGTAAACAATGCCACTGAATTAGAGAAAACCTGCTGAATTAGTATGTTTTTGTTGTGTATATTCTTAAAATGACACAAAAGGGGGGGAAATCCCTTTGGTTTATAAATAAAAGTTTTAGAATTTAATTTTTAGTAATTAATTTTGTATTGAATGCTTCCAATAACCTCATACCACAAATTAAGAGCAAGCATATGTCCTAACAGCGTGTATTACTGGCTTATTATTCAAAGTGGCTTTCCTAGCCATCAGCTTTGACTTTCACCCCATGACTAGGTAAAAGTTTGAAAAAGGATGTGTATAAATTAATCTCTATGAGACTGTTTAGTTTTCCCCATCACCAAGTTAAACTGAATGGGTTTAGCAGCGAAGGTAGGAATCCCACTACCAGCAAGGAAAAGGAAGCAGAAAAATGCAGCATGTGTCTTTTGGAGCCAGATTTCAGTGCCAGTTAAACCAGAATTTACATGACAGTAGCAACAGCAGCCTCAGCAGCAAACCAGAGACTGACATAAGATAGAGTTGACTTTAGACTCTTGGCCCACTGAGCAGAGTCAGGGGCCTTTGCCCACGCTTGCAGGAGGACTGAGGAAAGATGGCATTAAGTCACTTAAGTCATGAGGCTGAATGTCAAAGGGCCTGCAAGGATGCTTGAAAAGTTCTATCAACCCAGGAATTGTATCCCGTTGCCAACTTACACCGCAACCTGTTAACTTCCCTAATAAAGCTATAATCATGAGTATGGTTCTGTGTGATTTGTGTGGTCAACACAACGGATTTTGGACCCTGTAAAATTAGTGTCAGTATTAGTAGTCAGGGCAGAGGCAGGGGGGCCATGTCTGACCTCATGTGAATTAGTTTTGTAGTTCCCCTTCACGAAGTTTAGAGTTCAAAATCAGCTATCAACCTGCTGCCCTCACACTTTGCACATACCATAAAAGCAAAATTTTCAAAAAACTTCTCCACCTTACACTGTATTTGAAAAGTGAACATGCATCCCATGTAATAACTAAGCTGTTGATGTACGCCTCTTTCACGAGTCTTTTTCATACTATTTAATATTAAACCACTGCATCATATAATGACCAACACACTTTACGTTTCATTCAGTTTATCAAGAGCATCTTATTTCTCTGAGTCTTAGAAGTCAATACTCACATACAAGTCAAAATAACATGCTTTACCTGGTTGAGATGCTGTGTGAGATGCGTCACCATAGTGCCCATAATGAGGTGGTGAAAGACCTATTCCAGGCGGAGACTGAGAATAGGGGGGTGTAGCCACATAACCTTGTTGATTCATTATGAAAATATCATACCAAAGGATAATTCCACAAAAGAATCCTGAAACAAAGAGAGAACAGAAGTCACTAAAAGGTATAAGTCAATGCTACTAAAAAATATAAATCATTAAAAAATATTTGTGAATAATTTCAGAAGAGGTGCAATTAGCAGGTGCAGTAGGCATCTCATTATTATTCAAAACAATAAATCCTACCATTGATGCTGTTGCTGTTGTTATGTGCCGTCGAGTCACCTGCGACTCACAGTGACCCTATGTATCACAGCCCTAAATTCTGCTCCATCCTGTGACAATCTCACCATCTGACACACCAACCCTGATTATCCCAGTGCCTGAATCAATCCTCCTCATAGAGGGTCTTCCTCCTCTCCTGAACTGTCCCTCCACCCTCCCAAGAATGACGTCCTTCTCCAAGGACTGGTCCTTCCTCGCAACACACGTCTGATGTATGTCAGATGAACCTTCAGAATCCTTGCCTCCAAAGAGCAGTCTAGTCTCACCCTCTCTAGGACGAACCTGTTCGTTTTCTTAGCAGTCGATGGTATATTCAATATTCTTCTCCAATACCACAGCTCAAAGGCATCAATTCTCCCTCTATCCTCCCTAGTCATTGTCCAGCTCTCTGACGCATAGCATTTATCCCATAAAAAAGGGATCTAACCATAGTTCTACGGGACTTAGTCAATCATTTATATTCCTGGGTAAACTCTAAGGCATAGCCTGGATAACAAATGCCAATCACTTTTTCATTGGGAGCTATTTCAAGGGTAGTATCTCTCATAAGTGTCCTGCTGTTTTGTAACTTTGGTGTCATTTTAGCATAGGACATGCTACTGACAATAATCTTAAATCATTCAATTAACTAACAAGCATAATTATCAGTCATGGGTATTCAGATGTTCTGTGACTTATGTCTTTTTTTAGTGTGCCTCTAATTAGCTATTTTAATTAGGCAGTTAGGACAAAGAGAAACTAATAGCATACAAATGTAGCAGAACATAAAGAATCTGATGTGGACTTAAGAGTCATAATTTAACCAACGCAGGTGACAGCCGGCAATCACTTTGGAACTGTCAATGGTTTTTCATGTCAGAAGTCCTTTCCAATTTTCATGATACCACACCTCTAAGAACCGTGCAATTGTATTTAAGAAACTGAGAAAAAGCAGTTTTCTAAGCTCCTAGGCACATACATACATATGCAAATACAAAAGACTCATCATGATTCTCCTTAGAATCTAAACTTCAATTTGCTTTACACTTTTCCTTTTTTCCCCAAGTTTCACAAGATACGAGACATTTCCTAAGATGGACTTTATAAAATGAGAGGCAGGTTCTCCTTTTGATCCTGTCAATACTTACGTGACTTCCAATACACTGAAGAACTTTGCTGGGCCATGATCCCCTTTTTTATGATATGAAATCACTAAGAGCATTTCTATATGTAATACAATAATTCTAGAGTTTCTCTCTTATCTCTCCCACAGCAGAGAAACAGTCTTCCTTTTGTTATCTATGATGTTCTCTTTTAAGTTAAGAGATCAGTTACACCTGCTAAGATTTAGAACCGGTTTGTAGTTAGAAAATGGCATCCAAATTTAAAAGCGAAAGTGTTTCCTTTGGTTTTGCCTCCTACTCAAACTAGAAGATCCCCAAAATAAAGTGACCACATTAAAAAATATTATAAAATCACTTTCTTCCGTTTGGAAGAGGAGAGCAGCAAGGAGGAGAAGAGTAGGCAAAGAACTAAGGGTAGGCTTTGTTACTGACAACACTCCTTCCCCTCCTCCCACGTAGCAGAGAGAGACGTGGCAGCCTGAGCTTTGGTCAAGCTCATCCAAACAAGCACACTTAGGAAGTCAGCACGGTACACACCTATGAGGCAGCCTGTTGCTGAGTGACAGGAAAGAAAGGCGCTCCAAAGAGCAGGAAGCAGCAGGATCCCTCTTCACTGTTTTGGAAGGAATGCGCTTCCTCACTCAACCCAGCCTGCCACGTCAAACTTCCTCACTCAGAGCACCAAGTTTCAGAAACCTGACTCAGCTTCCAGCGGCGACATGGCAAAAAGCCACTTGGCAGAAGGAGGCCTACGGTGGAAAACTGGGGAGCTCCAATCCCCAAACGACCCCCTTAGACAAGTGTCATTGGAAACTCCAGCGAAGGTACACTTGTCACCGAGTTCGAATCTGGACAAATCCATTCCAATCTAGGGATGCCCTGAAGCTTAAAGATACAGTTGCTTTTATTATTATTATTATTATGACTATTTCAAACATCCCCTTTCCTCTACGAAGGAGGAAATCAAGTTGATGAGAAAAGATAACCGCTGTCAGTGGCAGTGGGGTCCTCTCTGGTTAGTGAAGACCCCCCCCCCCAGGCAGGTCCATCATCCCAAGACACAAAGGTGGGGGGGTGGAGGCAGGCCAAAAAATTGTCCACGCCCCCCTCCCCCTCCCTTTATTAAACTGCAAGAATCCGCTAATGGAGCAAGGTCTGAGTTCCTCCTTCCTTTGCACCGGCCACAGTTAAGCTTACAGCTCATCTCCACCTCCTCCCGGGTCGAGCACCCTATTCCAGCTGTCCGGGAGAAGGAGTCTGTCCCACCAGAGCGCAGCCGGGCGAGACGTTACCTGGCCCTGCTCCCTCGCGCCGCGGGGCTTCTGAGAGCCTGCGGCAAGGCTCCTCCTGCAACCGGTGGCCCCCGGTGATCCAGTTCCCGCTGAGGCAGCCGCTCCCACCGCGCCGGTCCCCCGGCCGGGTGTCCCCACAGCCTCGGCTCACGCACCACGCACGGAGTTGCAGCTGGGCTGGGAACTGCCACGTCAAGCACTCCCAGCTGCGCGCCCCCGGCGCCCAGGCTTGGACTGGCGGCCGCGCTCCCGCCCGCGCACGCGCGCAGCCACGCTCCGCGGAGGGCGGGGCGAGGGGAGCCGGTCAGCCGTGGCCACGCGTCCTGGGTTTCCTTGGTTTCTTTCCTGGGTTTTGTTTTTTTGGGTTTGTTTGTGTGTGTGTGTGTGTTAACAGATCAGAGATTGTAAGGTCGTCACTAAATCAGAGCAAACTTTCACCATGAAGCTCCCTAGGAGAAGGGGAGCTCAGATTCACGAGGATCCATTCATTCATTCCCTCATTCAACAAGTTGCTGGTAAGCCATTGCTTAATTGCATATTACTTGAATAACTGTTATTCCTGACTCCAAACTGACTCTACAGACAGGAGAAGGCACCATTCTGGACCTGAAAATTTTCTTAATCTGCACATATGCAAGGATTGAATGCTCTTGAATGCACTGCAGAGGCAGCCTGACCGAGAAACAAGGGAGAGGTGAAATTCCAGCCCCCAAATATGCTGCTGTTATGTACTATCGACTCAAAATGGACTCATAGCTGAGCCTCCAGCAGATTTTCAGAGGTAGTAAATCTCATGAAAGGAGATTGCCCATCCTTGTCGGCAGAGCAAATGTAATCAAATCGATTGTGTTTGGATTGACAACGGCAACTCCCTACCCATTGTTTTTGTGTACCTTAGAGTCTGAACTGATTTATCTATAGTTGACTCTGTGGTGGGTTTTCAGAGGCAGTTAGTCGCACTGGAAGAGATTGCCCATCAGTCTCCTGAGGAGCGGCTGTTCATCTCGAACCTCTTGTCTTCGGGATTGCAGCGCAGCTTTTTGCCACTAGGCCACCAACCACATTGAAGCTAGAATTTCTAAGTTTCAGTGTAGTCCTTAGAATTATGGTCTCATCTTCGTTGTGTCTGAAACATAATGGCTGATCAGCTCCAAAACAGGAAAGGATCTCTGGGTGTGCTAGTGCCGGAGTCATGATCTTTTCAACATAATAGGCTCATATGCTAGTGAAGACGAAACGCTTGCATAAGGACGACCAACTCTCACTACGCTGGAGAACAATGTTGAGTATCCAATGGCAGAAAGAATATTTCATCCTGGGGAAAGTGAGAGTGTCGGTGAAAAAGGTGAAGACCCTCAACAAGATGTGTTGACAGGGTGACGAACAATCAGCTGGAACCTAAAGATTGTGAGGATGATGCCAGACGAGGCAGAGTTTTCTTACATTGTACATAAGTCACTCTGAGTCAGAACTGACTCATGGTATATAGTGACAACAGTACCCAGGGTTCAGCTTATTGGACCTGAGAAAGACAACCTGTGTGGAACCTGGACGTTGACCTCTCTGTGTATATTACCCTAAAATCAGGACCAGCTAAATTGATTTTCTAACATCCTTCACTGCTAAAAAAAAAAAAAAAAATCCAGGTTTGGTATTGCAGCTATATTTTTGCTCAAATTGACAAGAGTATAAAGCCAGGCCATTGCTTTTCATTTTAAAATATACCTCTTGGTGTTTTGGGTTTGTTTTTTTTTTCTCTTTTCTCAGCTATGAGAAAGTAAAAACTAGATCATAAAATGCCATTACAAAGCAAAAAACAAAAACAAAAAACAATGCCCAAGTTAAAACTTCCATGAGGGCAATGCTGAGACTCTATGTGTACAAAATACATGTGCAAGGTTGTCAGTTTGAAGACTAAGGTTCACCTGATTCAGGCCATGGTATTTTCAATTATTTGCTGTGCTGCTGAGAGCTGGACAATAATAAGAATGATAAAAATCTATGCCTTTGAACTGTGGTGTTGAAGAAGAGGACTGAATATCCCCTAAGTTTCCAAAAGAATGGACAGATATGTCTTGGGAAAGTAAAGCCAGAGTGTTCCTTGGACACAAGGATGGAGAAGCTCTGTCTCTCATATTGGGATATATAGCCAAGGGAGGTATTCCTTGGAAAGAGTTATCAGACTTGGAAAGGTGGAGGGTCAGGGAAAGAGAGGAAGACCCCCCCAAAAGATTGATTGACACAGTGGCTGCAGCAATGGACTCAAGGGTATCAGAGATGATAAAGATGGCACAAAGTATAACAGGATTCAGGTCTGTTGTTCATAGAGTCACTATGGACTGTATTTAATTTTATAGCACCTAACAACAGCAACGACAATATGAATTTTGTAAGCAGTTTGTTGTAGCAATAAAGAATTACTCTATAATGTCCTTCTGTCAACAGCTTCAACACTGGTCACATTTGAAAACTCAAATAGAAAAAATTGTTTTAAGATGCTTTTTTTAATGAAAATGTTCAATGGGATTTACAAAGTTTTGCCTTGGGTTTGAAGCATTATGACTTGTAAGAACAATAACAAGAAGAATTTTATCACAGCTCTGTTGAAGTGTTTGTTGTTAGGTGTCATCAAGTCAACTAAAACTCTAAATGACCTTGTGAATAGATGAAAACCTTGTCCTCTCTATCCTTCACCATCCTCACAAACTCTACCATGCTCAAGCATATTGAGGCAGTCAGTGTGTCAGTCGCTAACACTGACAATCTTCCTCTTTCACTGACCCTCCAATAGGGAGTTGTGCTGCTAACACACAAGCAGTTTGAATCCACCAGTTGTTTAGTGGGAGAAATAGGCTATCTTCTTCCATGCAATTTACAGTTTCAGGAACCCACTGAAGGGTCAGCTACAAATTGGCCCCTACTTAATAACAATGAATTTCTGCTTTTCCAGGCATGATGTTTTTACCTAGGTACTGACACCAGTGGACAAATGTCCAATGTGGGAGAGAATAAGACAGTTGGAAACAAAATACTATGTGGCATCCTGATTGGATAGTTCCTCTACAAACCCTCTAAATTTGAATTTGAAAATTTTACTTCATGAGCTGCTCAGGGGCCAAATTTGTGTAAGACCAGGATAACCCAGTTGTAGCTTAAGTTTGAAGATAATTTTAAATTTTTAAGCATGATACAATCCTGCTTGCTGAAACTGAGGAAGACCTGAAGTGTTTGCTGCAGAGGGTCAAGGACTGCAGCCTCCAATATGGATTGAGGCTCAATGTCGAGAAGACAAAGATTCTCACCACTGGGCCAATTAGCAGCATCAGGATGGATGGTGAAGAGATTGAGATTGTCCACAGCTTCAGTTTGGTTGGCTCCACAGTCAACACTCTTGGCACCAGCAGCCAGGAAATTAGAAGATGTATTCGATTGGAAAGTCTGCTCTTAGGGACCTCTCCAAAGTACTGAAGAGCAGTGGTCTCTCTTCGGAGACTAAGGTGCACCTGATACAGGCCATGGTCTTTGCTATCACTTGCTATGCATCAGAGAGTTGGACAATGACTAAGGAGGATAGAAGGAGAATTGATGCCTTTGAGCTGTGGTGCTGGAGAAGAGTACTGAGGGTACCATGGACTGCTAGGAAAACAAACAGATCCTGGAAAGGGTCAAACCGGGCTGCTCCTTGGAGGCAAGGATTCTGGGGCTTCGTCTGACATACTTTGGATGTGTTGCCAGGAGGGACAGGTCCTTGGAGAGGGACATCATGCTTGGGAGGGTGGAGGGACAGCGCAGAAGGGGAAGGCCCCCTATGAGGAGGACTGATTCAGTGATTGGGGTAATTGGGATGGGTGTATCGGAGACGGTGCGATTGGCACAGGACAGAGCAGAGTTTAGGGATGTTGTGCATAGGGTCGCTATGAGTTGCAAGCGACTCGACAGCACATAACAACAACAACAACAACAACAAGAAGCATTAAAGCTAGAAAAAATTCTAAAGATATGGGTATTCAAACCAATAATCATTAAGAATTTAATTCAAGTCTCATAACAAAAGTTTACAGAATACTCCTGGGCCTCCACAAGAAAAAGACCCAATTACAAAATGTGCAAAAGACATGGAAAGAATTTTCACAGAGGAAGATATTTGAATGGCAAATAGACACATGAAAGAAATGCTCCAAATCACTGGCAATAAGAGAGATGAAAATCAAAACCACCATGAGGTACCATCTCACTCCAGTAGCAGTGGGAAAGTTTGACAGGACAGCAAGTAATAAATGTTGGATAAGATGTGGTGAGAAAGGAACTCTTATACATTGTTGGTGGGACTGTAAAATGGTACTATCACTCTTGAAGGCATTTTAGCATTTCCTCAAAATGCTGGACAAAGAAATTCCATATGACACAGCTATTCCACTGCTTGGAATAGAAAATGAGAACTGAGGCTCAAATGGAGACTTGTACACCAATGTTCATAGCAACATAAGTCACTATCACAAGAACATGGAAACAACCCAAATGTCTAACCACAAATCAATAGCTTGAGAAGTTGTGATACATTCATATAATGGAATACTATGAAGCATGAAGGAGCAATGATTTTGCAAATTATTACCTAATTTGGGACTGGAAAGCATTATGCTAAGTAAACTAACTCAGCCCCACAAGAACAAATACTGTATAAAACCATTATTTAGAATGAGTATGAGGATCCAAGGAGTGGTGGAGGGTGGAAGTAGAGGTGTGAGGATGGGCCACGTGGGGTGGGGTGTTAATAATATGGTTGCACAATTCAGTGGGTGGGTGGGTGAGGGAAATGGGAAGGATCTTTTGTGAAAAACAATATATTAAAACTTTGTCAATAAATCAGTATAAAATAAAAAATAATGAAAGGAAAAAAGAATTTAATTCATCCTAATAATTTTCTAAATTCTTAAACTGAGACTAAAAACACAAAAGTAAAAGTCAAACTCATCCATCTAGTTGAACATCTTCTAAATCTAAATTCAAAGCTCTTTCACATCACTATGTTTTCTCTTTTGAATACTATTCTTCGTTTCTTTCCTTTAACTGATTTTGTCTTTTACTTTTGTGACTACCTTATGCTAAAAATCTCAAGCAA